TAAATTCAATATGATTGATAAAATTTGTTGAGGGATTTTGATTTGATTCATGGCAAATAGGAGGCTATCAAGATTGACTAAATCATATGCTTTGAAAATATCGAATGAAGCTATCCAGAATTTCTCCATTAGATTGGTCGAGGTGTTTATTAAGAAGCGAATGATAGAAATGGGCTCCATAATACTTTGATCTTTTGTGTCTACATAATTTGATTGCGAAAGGATGTTATTGTTGGCAATGATGGAAGATAACCTCGTGTTGAGTATCTTTGTAAAGATCTTGTGACTGGTTTCAATTAGAATTATTGGCCTGGTGTCCAAGAGGTCATGTGATCACACTAGTTTTTTGGGAAGTAGAGTAATAACTGATTTTTTCCAGGATGCTGGGATGTAACCAGTTTTGAGAATTTCATTTAGGAGCTTTTCAAATATTTTTTGGGCATGTGAGCCTATGTGTTTCCAGGCTTCATAGGGGATTTTAGTAAGGCCAGGTGCTTTGTTCAGAGGGAAGGATGAGATTGACTCTTCTATAGCAGTTTGGTCGATTGTGGTGAATGTAGTATGGTATAGATCGGTAGGTATTTGATCAATGGGGCAATAGTCAGAGAACCAATTTTCATTAATAGAAAATTCTTTGGGTGTGAGAAGTTTGTAATAATGACTAATTATAATTTCATCAAGTGTGTCTGGATCATCTTGTAGTTGAGTACCATCATAGAGGATAGATAGGTTTAATAATGGTTTGAGATCGTTGAGTGCTATTGAAATATATTGTTTGGGTCTTTTCCAAAAGTTTGAATAGTTTTCTTTTACTCGTAATGAGATTTGTTCAGCCATGTAGTTAGCCATTCTTTTTTGTTTTTCTGATAATAGTGCTTTAAGGGTTTTTTTAATGGTTCCAATTGTTGGAGGAAGACTAGATATTCTCTTGTGGAAAGATGTTGCTTTGCCTGTAAGGAGGATGTTGGAGGGCTTATTTCTGTTTTTGCTAATGGTATTTTTCAGTTGTTTAATAGCTTGGTTAATGTCAGAGAATAGTTGTTTTGGTTTTGTGGGATGTTGTTGCTTTTTTGTCGGGATATTAGAATTTAGGGTATTTTTTATGATGAGTTCGAATTGGTGCCATTTGTAACACGATTCTGTTTCCAGGGATATGCTGATATCCTCAATGAAGGAATTTAATTGTTCCTTTGTTGCCTTGTTAAATAAGCACATTTTTGTTGAATAAGAAATTCTTTGTGGTTTATACTCAAACCACTGAAGGATTATTGTAATATCTTTATGGTTTGTTTTGATGTCGCTAGAATCAGATATATGATAATTTAGAATCTTGCTTGCCAATTTAAAAGAAAGCCACACTTGATCTATTCTGGAAGCACTAGTGCTGGTGTAGTGTGTATAGAGATATTCTTTGGCAGTGATCTTGCCGGCATCTATTATATTGTTCATTGCTCTGTAGATTTTGCATTTGCGATTATTTGTTGGGGCATTAATTAATGGAGATTTTAGGAGGTATACTGTATGTTGAAATTTTCTGCTATGATAAACTCATAATTCTTATATGAATTGAGCAATTGTTTTAGAGATGAGTAAGTGATATCTCTATGAGGGATGGAATGAGGGAGATAAAGTGCTACTATGATGATGTCTATTTGGGGTTTAAACTTGAGATGTATAGCGCACCAAAATTCATTGGGGAAAAAGGTTTCAATTATATGGTTTGAAAAAGTTTTAGAAAGAATTATGCAAGTGCTATTGCTGGGGGCTTCACTAGGTAGACTTGATATAATTATATTATTGTTGGCTTTTTGGGGGAGTGGTTTTGTGGAAGTGTGTTTGGTTTCGGTACAGATTTTGATTTGCCTTTCATTAGTTAGGGAATTTAGTAAACAATGTAATTTTCCTGATTCATTTAAACCTTGGACGTTAAGGGTTAAGATTGAGAGTAGGTTTTTAATTTTGCTATTATTATTTTTTTTTGGTTGACAGATTTGATGGGCGATGTTTGCTTGATTTGATGGGATTTGTCTGAGATCCATTGTTACAAAGGAAGGGCTTGAGTTAGAAGTGTAATTCATAATTAATAGAGAAAGGGAAGGAGAGCCACATCGGGATCGGGTAGCTCTGGTACTTTCACAAAATTCTCTGGAAGATTTTGGAAGTAAAAGTATTGTTTCAGAATATTTAGTTTCTCAGTGAAGGATTCATCCTCTTTTAATGGTAGGGTGATATTTGCCCCCTCTTTCTTTAAGATTTCATTTGAAATTGGGAGGTCTGGGAGAATGGAAATCTATTCTCTAGGAATAGGGCCCAAATAATTATTTTTAATTTTCTTGATATTGTCACTAAATGAGGGTTTATTTCTGTTGAGATCATTTTTTGAGAGGCCTAACTCCTTTTCAATTACTTCAAAATCATTGGGAAGGAAAGGTCGATTAGATTGTTTAAGAGATGGGTCTATCCAATTGGGTTCAAGAGGTAATTTGAATAGGTAAAGGGGGTTAGTTGCTGGATAAGGGTTTTGATCAGAGATTGGTCGTTGATAGGTAGTTCTATACCAGTGTTCTCACTGTGCAAGTGTGGTGATGTAAGGGGCAGTTTTTGGATTAAGTAGTCTTTTGAGAGCAATTTGAAAGCATAGTTATTATTTTGTAAGTTTTTTGAGACTTGTTTATGTGATAAATATCATTGGGTATGGAAAATAGGGAGGCTAAGTCTTGAGGAAGTTGTTGGTAGGTATCAGGAAGATTGATTTTTGGAGGAAGAAGATCGAAATATTCATATGGAAGTTTGTAAAAATATAGAACTTTTCACGTAATTGGTTGACTAATTGTCTGAGAATGTGAAGTTGTGCCTGTTCTGTGATGGGGAAAATGGATTTGAATTCAGAGGAAAGGTTCCGGGGATCAGATGGGAGATTTGGTAGTTTTTTAAAAAAGCTTTCAGGTAAAAGATCAAAGTTATAAAAGCATCTCAATGCTCGAGCCATTGTGGCGGTTATAGAAGGGGCCTCTAATGGGAGGGTATGGGGTAGTTTGATTTTGATTTTAGAGAGATTTCATTAGGATGTTTGGAAAACTCCAGGAGAACATTTTTAATAAGTTATTCCAAATACATCAGGAGTTCTTTATAATCTATCTTCTCTGTAGAAGGGTTAATAAAATAATTGAAGCTATATTCTAGGAACTGAGCAACTTGCCAGTTTCAAAGAGTGTAGAGGTCTGAGGTTCGGAGATATGTAGCAAAGATGGATTTGTTGATAACGATATTGATTTTTTTTTTTGGTGGTCCTGTTGATGTAGCCAATATTATGTTTGTTGAGGTAGTTAGTCTGAAAGTCTTTTACTAGCTTTTTGTATTCTCTCTGATGGGTTCCTTTTAGCTCTTCAGATTTGAAAAAGGATATAAAGAATGCTCTGTCTTTGTATGAGATTTTTGTAAGGACTGCTGATAAGGCCTTTGGAGATGGGATACAAGGAAGATTTTGATTTTTATGAACATCTCCATGAGAGATTTTGGTAAGAGATTGGTATCATTAATGATTGCTGCCATTTCAGTAATAGAGGATTGATAGTTTGGTTGACTTGCATTTTTAATGTCTTCAGAATCAAATATGTCTTCAGTTTCATTGGCCCATGAGGGAGGAGTTGATTGTTTATTACTGGGGTCGATTTTCATATCTGTGGCTGTGTTCTGGTCTAAGAGAGGTTGAACTTGATTGGTGCATTTAGGTGTGTTATCACTAAGAAAATTGCCTGATTTGTTATTATTAGGGGGTTGATCACCTTCCTTATTAGTTAATTTAGCTACAGATGAGTAAGGAGAATCTTGATTTGTAATCTTTGTAGGCTGCTGATCAGTATCTTGTGGTACAGGAGTGTTTGGAGGGGGTATGGGGATTTCTCTTTTTTTGAGAGAAAAAGTATTGGAAATAGTGTCGGTAGAGATGGAGATTTGGTTCCAAGGACAATGAAGTTTGTAATTCATTATGTTTTTGACAACTTGATGAACTGCAAGTGTTTTGTCATCCTCTGATAAGTGAAAAGTTGATTGATGTTCCATGAATTTATTGAGAATAGTGAGATTATTGTGAGGAAGAATTTCGGCTAAACATTGAGGGAAGGAGAAGAGGCTCGTAAAGTTTGTTTTTTGATTTCAAACTTGATGTGAATGATTTTTAGGTCTAAATTTGGATCTGTGTTGGGAGGGTTAATAGTTAAAATTAGCCAGGATGTAAAACAGTGTTGAAGGATAGGGACTTGAAGGTGAGAGGCTAATTTTGTTGCAAAGACAAGAGAAGTTTTGTTTTGTTTGTAGATAATAAAGATTTTTGGTTTTTTATTGTCTGTTAGAACAATGTCTAGGATAGAGAATTCATTTTCATTTTGTATAGCCTTGGAGGGATTGCCTCCAGGCTCTTTTTGCTTGCCTTTAAACAAAATTTTGTTTAAGTTTTTTTTTTTTGAAAATTTGTGGTTTGGGTGATCGACCACAATCAAAAAACTTTATGTTGCATATATATTACTAATGTTTTTATGAAACCCTTCAATAAAATAATAAACAATTTTTTCTTATATTTTTTTAGATTTAGTATATATATTTTCAAATATAGCAGGAAAAAAACTCTTTCCTGCAAATCCATTTTTTCTAAAAAATTTCTTTTTATAGTAATTTTTAAAGGAAAAGAAAAGGTGAATGGAGAGATGCCATCTCAAAGGGAACTTCGAAGCAAAATGGCCCAGTGGAGGCCTAACTACAACGAGAACATCTTCACAAAAGGTAATACAAACAAGTTATGCAAAGAAACAACAATATGAGCAGCAAAGAAAAATATCATAAACAAAGAGAAAGCCAAAGAGAACAGTAAAAAAAAAACTCAGTTCGAAGACTTTAATAGTCAACATATGTCCCAAGACCTAACAGCACAGGCCACAACATTTAAACCTTCCCTTGAAACTAACCAGAGTACTAATTGAAGTGAAGAAGTTGAGAATAACATTATGGCTGCCAAAAATCCTATGGTAAACCATCTGGGTAGTACTACAACAATATCAAACATGGAAATGCAAGAAGTGATTTTCTTTGAAGCAACTAGAGAGACATACAGAGAAGTAGATATAGAGGATCAAGACATGGAGATGGGGATAGAACAAGACTCACAAGCAACATCCTCAAGCTGGCAATGTACCAGTATCAAGAGGAAACAAAAGGAAGATATCTGAACCACCAAACCAAGACCCCTTTCCCCCTTTGACAAAACTATCCGTTATGGTAGAGAGAGAGCCAAGATTGATATTCCTGCCATAGACTTGCCAGGCAAAATTACAACTCAGAAAATAACCTTCCTCATCAAGGCTTTGAATTCATCAGAAGGACTCATGACAATTAGAGTGAAAAGAAAAAAGAGACAGAGCACATAATTACCATTTTAAATAATAAACAAGAAGCAATTGAGACTTGCAACAATCCATTATCCAATATAGACAACAAACATATGGCCCTCATGAAGTATACAAACCCAATCCTAATATAGAAAAATAGTATTAGAGTATGGGATATTCCCTTAAACACCAAACTCATAGAAGTACAACAATTCTTCACCAAATATGAAGCGATCAGTAACATCACCATGTCAACTCAACAAATGTGGCAAACATCTATAATTATATATATAAAAAAAGAAGACAAAGATGCCTTAATCAAAAAATAGAGTGTACCTCTCAAAGCTGACGCAGTAAGAGTTTTTGATGCACATGAAATGTAGATCAAATGAAAGCATGTAAACAAACTGCAACAAAACTTATGAATCTTATACCCAATACTACTGTCTTTGACCTAAGAAGAATATGTGAACAAACTAAGGCCAAGACCTGTTATATACCAAGAAGAATGTTATACCAAAGAATGAGATTTGCAGTCATCAGCTTTAGTAATCAAGAAGAACTAGAAACAGCCATCTCACAAGAATTTCAACTGGAAGATTTCAACTGTACCTGGCAACCTATCAAAGCCAAACTGTGCACAATTTGTGACAGTCCAGAGCATTTACTAAATGGTTGCTCAATCAAAGAAAGAAGAACACAATATAAGGAATACAATAAGGAACAAGCAAACAAATTTGGAAAACTAATAACAAGTTCAGATCGGCATGTACCACTTCAATTAGAAATCAAACAAAACCCCCACAATATCACTTAATCAAGTCTGGATCTTATACAGCAGCTACCAAATATGATCAACATCAACCAAAAAAGACCCAAGAGAACAACTCAACACTTGTCGATATTATGATTATTCTCAAAGAAATCAAGAATGTGATTGAGGTGATAAAAGAAAATATTAGTGACCTGGATAAAAGGGTATACAACTTGAAAGTTTCAGAAGATAACTTCACAGATACTATGGAAAACAAAAATAGAGAAAAAGACCTATCAAACTATGAGAGGATCTCCACCCTTCAACCAAGCACAAAAAAACATTACAATATTCAAGCTAAACAACAACAAATCCATGAATCCATAAGCAGGATGGACCAAAACATGCATAAGGCACTTAATGCAATTTTAGAACTGATTCCTAGTGCAACCTCTTTCCCCTCAAAAAATAATCAATGAACAATATACCAGTATTACCTATATTGGAAAATATATTACACAATTATGGCAATATACAACTCAAAAAGTCACCCAAGGATACACAAAAACAAAACTCATCAAACTCCACATCTTATTTAAATAATGACATAATAGAAGACAACTCCAACAATAATAATACAATTACGTACATTGAAAAAGACACTCAACACTCGATATGACAAGCCACAACTGTCAATATTCAAGGCCTAACAAACAAACACAAAAGAAAAACCTGGTTCAACTGGTATGCAACAAAGGACTGTGACATCATTGTAACAACTGAGATCAATGGTACCCACCAACAATCAAAATACTGAAAACACCTATTCTACCATATAATTTGGGTACACACCAATAAACAAATGATTGGACAATATCTAAATCTAATGATCAAAAAAGAAATAGCAAACTGCATTTATAAATACAACATTTGAAAGGAAAACTAATACATATAGATCTTGCATTTCCAAAAAAACAAAACTTAGAATTATAGGCACATACTTTTATACAAATAGGAGAGACTAGGGGTGACAAGACACCCTCAATAAACTAAAGCAATGGACACGAGAAGCATTTCAAAAAAATTGGCATCTCCTGGTATTAGTAAACTTAAATGAAGTTTTCAATCCAGCTCTGGACAAAAACAATGGTCACAAACAAAGTACATCCAACAAATCAACAGGTTTTCAAATAGAAATATTAATAGACCACAGTCTAGAGGACATATACAGGCTTCATAACCCAAGCAAAAGAGAATATACCTGGAGTTTGAACAACAGCAGTGGCAGAATAAACCAAATCTGGATGAATATACTCCCATCATGACAAAGCAAGAAAGCTTACATCGGAGAAGATTTAGTTCCACTGATTTCTAGCGATCACAAACCCACTATCACTGAAATAGAAACATGGCAACTGAACTCATACAAGGAGACCCATACCACCAGCCAAATTATAGATATAACTGGCAGCTAGCAAACAATAAACAATAGAAAAAATTCTTTCTAGAAGTTGACAAAGACCTAAGTAGCCAAAGTACAAAACCTAGATCAATAAATAAACTATGGAATGTCATATGCAGCCATATCCTCAAAGCAGCCAAACTCCACATTCCAAAAAAACAACAACATAGGAGAAACCTAATAATAAGAGAGAAAAACATAACCAAATATCTGCTATTGCAGATACAGTTTTTTAACAATGGATTGAAAGCTGCCTATAAAGCAAATAAGTCTTCTTCCACATTACCAAAACATCTTTAGGAAAAGTTTCCAAACATGCAACAATATCTAATTATACTAAAGGTGAAGTATCCACTCAATTTTTTACAACACTGGCTAGACTATATTCAAAAATCTTCCGAGAACACAAAGTTATTGCCCAAGCAATCACATATAGAAAGCAAGATCTCATGATCAAACAAAGAACTCTAAATAGACAAACATACCTAGCAACAAATAAAAAGGGGATAATTAATAGCATCATGGAAAAACCTAATAGAACTATTGTTCTGAACAAGATTATTATAGAAGACAAAGAAGTTTCAATTATAACCAATCCCAAAGAAATCAAAAACAGGGTTAGATAACACTTCAGAACTGGACCCCAGCCAGGAATATTAAGCCTATCTCCAACCTTTTCTCCTGGGCTGAAGAATATGAACCAAAAAAGAATATTAATTTCAGGTGGTACAACTCAGTCCTTTCTGAAATATCTATGGAGGAAATAAAAAAGGCAATTCAAAGTAGAAGTGTAAAATCAGCTTCTGAAAGAAATTAGATTCTGTACATGGCCTATAAGAAACTAGGGATAAAGACAATAGAAAAAATCCAGCTACTCTTTAACAGAATCATTAAAGAAGGAGACATTCCAAAAGAATGGAGTAAAGGAGCCATCTACTCAATACCGAAACCAAAAGACTGGCAAAACAATCTAGACATCACAAGACCAATTACTCTTCTAGATACAGAAAGAAAGATTTTTACAAAAATTATCCCCAATAAATTAGCACTCTGCATAGGTGACCACAAAATCCTCTCAGAATTAAACTGGGCAGCACTTCCTAGCTGCAGTACACAGGAACCAATCCACATTATAAACAATATTATTGAACACACGAAAGACACAAACAAACAAGCATGGATCCTAAGCCAAGATATGTCCAAGGCATATGATTCAGTCAACCTTGAAATGCTAACTCTAGCACTCAAACGTATCAGGGTTCCTTCTCAAATTATCAACATTCTCTGTAATATATTCAACCAATGATAAAACATTGTTTTAACATGTTATAGACCCACAACAGAATATGGAGTTGAGAATGATATTGATTAAGAGGACACAATATCTTTTCCTCTTCTGGCATATCTTCTATAACCCTCTCATAACCAAAATAGATAAAGATTTTACAGGCTACACAATCTCAACAAAAATATGTAGAAACCTCCAAAAAGGCTGGTCAACAAAAAAGGCTAACATTGCAGTCGATGTATACATAGATGATACCACTTGAATTATAGACAATATGGAAGATATGAGAGAAATTATCAAAGTAGCAGAGGAATTTTACCACATCAATAATATCAAAATCAATCCACAGAAATCACAATTAATTATTATTAATGGTAAAGAGGATGACTTCAGGTAAGAAATAGTAATAAACAATCAAACTATTCAGGGCTGCCTCAAAGGAACTCCAGTCAGAATCCTAGGAGTGTGACATGATAGCTCAGGAAAGAAAAACTATCAAAGAACCCTAATTTAACAAAAATTCAGGAAGACCAAAGTACTAATAGAAATGAAAAAATTCACAAATAAGCAAATGCAATATATTATAAAACATGTCCTAATTCCTAGTGCTAATACCTATGCAATAACATGATTCTATCTGAAAAATCATGCAATCTCCTTATGAGTAACATCACATCAACTCTCAACAATATCCTCTACAATAAATATGAATATAACATAATATATCTGTAGGATAGACAACTCCTACTCCACACCACAAACTGGATCAACAGAATTAATAGAACCAATAGAGCAAAAGAAATAGCAAGAATAAGATTACAGATACTGCAAAATAAATTTTGATCACCCCAACCCATCCTAAACATGATAGAGAGCCCTCTAAAGAAGTTAGGCAATAACCTTACACATGACATCATATGGCTCTTGAGAAGACATGCATTTACAGTATACCTATAACAAGAAACCAATAACCTGATTCTTATAAAAGAAATAGATACTTTAAAAGAAGATATAATAAGCAAAGCTTTCTTTGCTGAACATTGGAAAAATCTAAAAAAGCACAACCTTCTATTTACAGGGCAACTCCTAAATGCAGACAAATCTAAAGTACTAGAATAGTATCAAATCATTCGAATTACTAAAAAATCAGTCCCAGGTACAACTCCAAGGTGGTTCACTACTATACAGAACAAACTTAAAACAATACTGGAAACCAAAGACCAAGTAAATACTAATACAACCAAAAACATCTTTATACACGGCATACCCTCCACTGACCTCCTCTTCTCCAGACCTCAT